AAGTACAGGCTCTGAAATCTCAAAATAATACATTAAAAGTAGCTCTTTGTTGGGCATTTCCATCTGTGCAAAGGACTTCATGCTATTCAATATAACACAATATTAGAATTATATTAGAACTCTAGTTCAATTGAATTTCTAATTCTAATGCATTAAATCACCTTGAACACAAACAAAGAAAACTAAAAACTTAAAAAAAAAAACCAAACCTCTATTTTAAGCTGCCTAAATTTTAGGAGGTGACTTTGCCTCCACACGTAAACAGAAAAGTGAGTATAGTCAGGGGTTAAAGTGGGATTCGGCAGATGGGGGTTTTACTGATTATGCATGGGGAAAAGAATCCCAACTCACAATAATTTCCATGAACTCTAGTAGATTTTCTTTGTGAAAATCTACACTGATCTACACTGCTGAGGTTTAATGCTCTTTATGAATTTGCAGAGCTGAATTCAACAACATATTGCCAGTTTCCATCCCCACTGATAGTATTCTGTTTATACTTTAAAAAAAATCTTTAAACCAGAAAAAAACCCGTAACTTCACATCATATACAGATACATATAGAAAGTAGAGATATTTGTGTAAAAATGTAGGGAGTATAAGTGAAAAGTTTTCAGAATAAATAATAATACTATTAATACTCAGAAATATTAACTAATAAATACTCAAGTAAAGCAAAGGTACTTGAAAATTCTCCCAAAGTATAATAATGATGTGTTTTTCCTTTAATAATTCCCACGTCTGTTATTTGGTGAGTGACAGATTGCCAGATCTCTGCCTGTGGAACTGAAGGTTGAGATGCCTGAGCTGAAAAAGTGACTTGAGAGTTGGTTTCATATGAATTCTTGTTCAAGAATCTAAAACGACTAACAGGCATTTTGAAAAATGGCACGAAAGTGATATGAAAGGCATCATTTATATGAAACGCCCATCTTCAGACTTCCAGAACGCCATAAAAAACGAATCACTTCAATACTGCACTAAAAACTGGACACCGTATTGTTGTTTCATCTTTCTTGTGCACTACATATTCACATGCCTCTGGGTCAAACACTGACACACAGTCATCAGGGAACCGTTGTGGGGTGGCACACCTGTGATAATGCAAAAGACACACAGTTAACAGTGCATCATGTAAAGTCAAATATAATTGATTTTTCCATCTATTTAAATACCAGTAATTTAATGTAAACACTCAGGCACGGCAACATGCAAGTACAGTCCCAACAATTAGCTCTCCATCTAGAGCCCACTGCATGCCAACTGTTATTGTCATCCTTACAATGGATTGATAGATAGATAGATATTATTCTGGCACAGTTCCTATTGAACTAAAAAAATGTGAGTGTATGTTTATCTCTGTCTGTTATTTCTGTTTTTTTCTTACCAGGTTCTAATCTTTTTGTTGATGCACTCACTATTTGTCAGTGACAGCAGAGCGCACAGCGGCAGAGCCAAATATTTCTTCAGAGGAAAGCAAACATTGCAGTTTGATTAGGCACCATCTAAGTAATTACTTCTGTACATTTAATTACCAGTAAACATTAAGTTTTATAAAATTGCTGCTTATTGCCATAATTTATATAATTTTAGCCTGTCAGAAATGTACAAAACAACTGTTAACTATAACAAAAATGAAACTCACCATCCTGGAAGTCAGGTTTGATAGAGCTGAAAAGCAACAGTCTGAGCAACAATTGACTGTTCCTTTTAAACACCTTTGGATGTAGATGTAGATGTAGATGGGAAGATTCGCTACATACATGTGGAAGAGGTCAAAATGTCTCAAAAAGCAAACAACCAAAATTGGTGCTCGAGAAAGTCGTTTTTCTATTAGTTTGTACTCATTTTAAGAATTAGTTAAACAGTCAAATCAACAAATATTCAGATCTTCTTTATTTCTTTTAAATCTGAGAAATAACTTGATATGCCAAGTTTAAACAAACACAGTTTGCATGCAAGCGTACAAGCTTACTGGAAGTTACGGGCAGTAGGATAGACCACCCCTCCCTTCTGTTTAATTTCAAAGGTCATGCAGCATTTTTTGGAAAATGATTTAGTTCTTTCTTCAGGGTAAATAGATATTCAGTTCTGATATCACATGATGACTTGTCACTGTGCTTTACGATTACAGGTATGTTTTGTTTCCAGTGAGGGACTATCAAAATAAGACAGGAAGTAATTAAAACATGAAAACACTGAACACTTAGACAGAGACTTCACCACGCAACACGCAGGAGGCAAGAAAAGTGATAATTGAAGAGACGCACAGACATCTGCATGAACACAATTACAATACATTAGCTTAGACAAGAAAGGATAAACACTGAGGGAGGAATAAACTAAAGGAAGAGAACTAAATACACTAAATGTAAAACCCCAACCAAACCACAAAACAAAGAGATAATACAAATAAATAAAGCCTCGAAGTCCAACAACCTCTCCACACAGGGTCAGAGACCCAGAACCATGACACTGAGTACTCAGATTGGGTGAAAATGTCTTAATCCCATTTTCCACATTATAGCAAGCTGACAGTGTAGCTTAATATGTGTTTGAATAAACTAACTGGGACTGAAGATAAACACTAAGAACAAATAAATCAGAGCTTCATGAGACATCTCATCTCATAGCTGAAGGGATGGTGTATTTGGTGACAGAGTGAGAGATCTCTGTCTTGGACTTTGGAGCTGGGGGTGGAAATGGAAGTTGGGATAGCTGAGTCAAAAAAAGTGTCAGAGAGTTGTTGAAGAAGTGGGTATAAGACAAACTCAGACAGGCGATAGCAGTCATGACTAAATAAAAAGAATCACCACCAACATTTTTCTTTTAATAATTTCATTTAGTTGTTTTTGCATTCAGTGGTACTCACCAAAGACATATTTATGGATTTTTATTCAAGAGTCTAAATATTGATTGAATCACTTTCCCGTTGCAGCAAAAATTGGGCATAGTTCTGTTGGGTTATCTCTCTTGTGCACTACATATTCACATCTCTTTGAGTCAAACACTGACACACAGTCGTCGGGGAACTGTCGTGGGGTGGCATACCTGTGACAATAAAGTAAAGTTAACACAGTTAACAGTGTATTATGTAAAGTCGAGATGACTAATGTTTTCCTCTACTTAAATAACAGTAATAAATGTACTTACGCAGCACAGCATCCTTGGCAAGTACAGTCCCAGCATTTACTGTTTCTCCATTTAGATCCCACTGCATGCCACGTCTCATCCATATCATCCTTACAATGGGTCATACCTATGAGTGAAAAAAAGATCATGAACATTTTTCAATGTTTATGTGTGTGCACAAAGAATATACTTTATGTCTTTCAGTATGTATTATTCCTTTTTTCTCACCATATTTCTGAGGCTTAACAAAGCACTGACTATTTGTCAGTGACAGCAGAGCGCACAGCAGCAGAGCCAGAGCCAAGTATTTCTTCAGGGGAAAAATTGCAGTTTGATTAGGCACCATCAAAGTACTTATGTATATTTAATTACCAGTAAACATCACACTTGATAATAATGTTGTCATTACTTTAGCCTGTCAAAATCAGCCGTTAACTGAGTTTCTTCTGAATTTGCAAAAATAAAACTCACCATTGTGGAAGTCTGATTTGTCAGATCTGAAGAGTTTTGAAGAGTGAATATTGTGTTTCTAATGCAGGGCGCTTTCCTTTTAACAACTGCATGTACAATGACCTTTGGAAGTAAACAACTGGTGGTTTTGCCACATAAATGTGACGTAAAGACAGCTTCAACTCAAATGTCAGTATTCTCTAATGATAAGTGGCTGTAAGCCGGTTGAATTTAGAGATAAAAGTAAGTCATACCTGTTGCAGTGGAACAATGAGATGTAGTCTGCAACTGAATATGGTAGTATAGCAAAATACAACACAAACAAAACAATTGAGATTCAGGGGAAAAAATATGTAATTCACGGTCTGTGAAGCAAAGGTTTATATCTAGGCTGCATTGGATATAGTTTGTCAATATTTCTAATCAGATGAAAAAAAAAGTTAAATGAGCTGAAATACACCAAATCATTGTCCTGAAAGCCAAAGTGCAGAACTGTTGAAAGCTGAAAAGAAGAAGTTTTAAAGTTGGAAATAGCTGAACATCTTTAAATGTACATAAGAAAAAGCTGATTAATGACAAAAGAAAATTTAAAGTAACAAAAAAAAATTCTGGATGAATACTGAAAGCTCATATAGCTTTAGATCACTTGAGTGGAATTATGGATTTCAAATGTCTAAACTCAAGAATCTCAAGTGAAGTTAAAGCTAACTGTTACCATCAATGTTGGTCCTTTGGTGTATTTGTAATGGCTTCCAATGTGACACAGACATCCAAAAGGTTGTGATTCAGTTGGGGTAAGTAAAAGTTAGTAGTGTGTAGGTAACATCTGTGCAGCTCACTGATGTTTTGGAGCCCACAAGGGGTCAGCATTCAGCAACAACGGTAACAGTCTTCGTGTCTTCATGCATAAGCCATTAGCAACATCTAATCTAATGTCGAGGTAACTATCTCTTCAAGTTTGATGAATGAACTTTGTTTATGGAAATCAGAAATTGGTCTACACGGTCTTCACAGTTATGCAGATGTCACCTAAATGTGTTGCTAGTTTTACTTCTTCTCCTTAATGTTATCTTTCTTTCTTGTTGTTCACATGATCACATGTGACAGTAACTTTCTCTTTGCATCATGAAACCAAGATAAATTCTTTGCATGTGTCTTCAGCATTATTGGGTTTCTGCAGCTCCTGGTTTTCGTGTGTAATACGTTCCAGCACACAAGGAATCAGACAGCATGAACTGATTCCACCATAGTTGTGGTCTCTTTATAAAGGGTGAATTATATAAAGGCAGTCACTGATCACCACTAGATGGTGTGATAGGGCAGCAGACTCCAGTATTTGCTCTGCATTGTGTTCTTCGCATCATATTCTAGAAAGGAAGAGAGAGAGAGAGAGAGAGAGAGAGATGAAAAGAGTTAGACTTCTAGGGTTTGTGGATCTTTCTGCTGGATGGCCTTGCCCTTTACAAAAACAGCAAATATCAGTGGGAGGGTGCATGGGGCTCTTCTCATCTCTACATAATACTGTGTTGGAACCACTGATGAGAGGGTCCCAACAACAGTGAGCTCCATAGCACTCGTGCTTTGTCTCTCTCCTCCTCTTCACCCTCTGAGTTAAGCTCGCTGCTCTCTATTGGATCATTGCTTTTTACACTTCAAGGATCCGTGCAGAACTGAAAGAAGTTTTTGCAGGAGGATTAAAACTTTGAAAACAACCGATGCTGGTTTCCTTCATCATCTGATGTTTATGAGACTTTTGCTTTTTTTTTCTGGAATAATGCCTTTGTGCTGGAAGAGAAGCTCCTGGTTGCCAGTGGTGTTTGGGACTGCGCTGGTCGTTCTTACTGCTGGTAATGCTGGACCGAATCAGGACAGGAGGCAACCTCAGTCATCCTCGTGCTTTGGAGGCTTTGATCTCTACTTTGTTTTGGATAAGTGAGTGAACTGACAGACATTACCTGATTTTCTATCGATAACTGAAAGCAGTTCATGATTTTAAAAAAAAATCTAGGAAGAAGCGTTTGTTGACGAAACAATTTGGTGTCTGTCTTTGTTTCTACCTCCACTAAAGTTTCTTCCTACCCTGAAAACTTAAGACAGTTCTCTAGCTAAACATTTTATGCATTGTTATGAAATCATACTTATGCACGAAGTTTAAAATGCATATTTACTTTATGCATAAAAGAATTGTGCTTTTTGTGTCCCCTGCAGCAATAAAATCATGGTTTTGCCAAGTGTTTTTATGATGTCATCATCCCATTTGGTATCATTATGAGTCTGGCGTCATGCAATGCAGGAAAATGGGTTAATGATGCAATGTTTTCATTATTGTGATTGTTGCTCCATTTAACTGTCAGCTGCAGTCACAGTGCTGTGTTTGGTGTACATACGTACCTCATTAGCCAGTGAAAAGCTTGTCTTGATAATTATGTTTCTTCATATTCTCTGATTTTCAATATCTGTGTATCTTAGGGAGTCATTGTGATAAAGTTATTTGGACACAGGTCATGATTTAGAATCCATTTCCCTGTTTATCTAAGCTCAGTTTGAGTTATCTTTGTTTTTCATTCAGCAGTGCAGCAAAGACAGCTGTACAAATCTGCAAAGTGGCACGAACCTCCCACAATAATCTATCACAATTACAGTTGACAGTCTTTTGGAGGGGGCATGTCGTGGACTCTTTTCATTTTGCAGGTTTCTGCAGGCAGCACATGATACATTGATAAGTTAAACCTGAATTTTGATGCTCTGCAAATTTAGAATTTTCCCAACTAATCCTTTTAGGGTAATAATTAATAATATTTAAGGTAAATCAGCACATAGCCTCTCTAGAACTGATGCTTAAATTGCTCAGGGAGTTGCCTTTGGACTATAGCAGAGTACTTACCTTCTGACATTTGTATTTTTAAATCCTGGTTTCAAACGACTTGTTTTTATTATAATATCACCACATGCCAAACTTCTTGGCCAACTAGGCCAAGAAAAAAAAAAGATCCAACTCATTAAACCACTCTTTTTTTATTTGGAGTTTTTAATTGGTGGATTTTTCTGTAGCTCCATTGTTTAGAGAGTCTCTACATGCAGAGGCAGAGAGAGATTTTCCAGTTGTCCAGTACTTCTCAGTGCCAAGTCCAGGCACATGCTGCTATTTCTTAGAGGAAAAATCAGGCACTTATGCAGGAGTGAGCAACTGTTTGCATTAGCCATGTTTCAAAGACACAGGTTTACAGGTGCACCCTGGCAGCATTTGTTGTCGGGCATTAGCTCTTCCTTTAAATTTCTGTCTCCTCTCCAGGTGGGACTTCACTTTGCCTCTTAGCTGCGATGTCCTCCACCTGCCCTCACTGTCTTCTCACAGTATCTGCCTGATCTCTCTTCTCCTCTTCTCTCTTTTCCCCATGTCTGCGCTGCCTTTCTCCACTTGGTCCAGATGTTCCAGTGTTTCAGCCTGTTGGCTCAGATGTTTGTGCTGGGACTTGTGTCATGGTGACAATGGAAAAATACGTGTGTTATGAAAACACAATTTCATTGAAAGCCGTGATAAAAATCAGCAGTGACACATTCAAAAGACATCTAGGCTCACAAAATGTCGGCGTTATCAGCCAAAAAAACTGTATCTGTGTACTGATATTGATACAGATAATTGAATAATGAGATAACTATACAAAACAGCTTCTCTGCTGAATCCTTTAATCCCTCCTTGATCTCCTGATTTTTATTTCCTGACAAAAAACAGAGTGGGATTTGGCTAACTTTGCTGTGGCATTTGCTATGCAATCAAGAAAAACGTTAAGTAAAAACTGTGACAGTAAAGAGAGAACAAAGTTCAAGATGATTAACAGAAACACTGATCGGCTGTTATTATGCAGCAGGGTTAACAAAGCCTTATTGTGAGTGTATGTTGATGACTGTAAGACTAAAGTAACTACGGCTGCACAAAGAGGATTTTAGAAATTCGAAGATCATTACTACTTCGTAGAGTAAGTTCACCATGCTCTCCAAAGCATTTATTCTGCAGGCTCTTTCAAGTCAGCTGTTTTCTTTGTAAGCACTCCTTCCCCCCTGGGCACAGACACAAGGGCCCCCAATGTCAGGGGCGGTGGCTACAGAAAGAGACACAAATACAAACAGATGCACAGCTTCAAAAACATGACCGCAGTTACCCGAAAGAGACACAAACAACAGAAGAGAGACCACGAACCATAATTCACAGTGACATACAAAGATTAAAACAGACATAAAGTTCATTTTTTATGGAGACAAAACAACTTAAAAAAGACTCAAAAGACATGGTGGTATAATTTCAGGTGCTTTGGGGTCTTTTTAAGACTTGGTCTTGCACCTGTCTGAAAGTGCTAGGGTTTTTTTTGTTTTTTTTAAATTAATGCCTTGGGCTACTGCCAGAGGAGAGGTCATGTAGTTTAGATGCACAGCTGCGATTTTAAATAACACATCATCATATTAATTTGATCTTTTTCTTGTCAGATCTGGGAGCGTGCAGCATCACTGGACTGAAATCTATCACTTTGTTGAAAATTTAGCTCAGAAGTTCATAAGGTAAAGAAATAAAAGTGTTGTAACAAGAATCTGTGGGAAAGTTTGTAACAAGAAATGATGACAGATGAATGTTTTCTCCTGTCTTTTCTCCAGCCCACAGTTGCGGATGTCCTTCATTGTGTTCTCCACTGAGGGACAGATCTTAATGAGGCTCACAGAAGACAGGTGGGTGCAGCTCCTCCTCCACAAAAACAAAAACCAAAAACTGGTCCTAATCCTTTAATTTTCTGCCATCCAGCTGAAAGGAATGAGCGTAATACCAGATCTGGACTGAGGTCACATACAGTTATGCGCTTATGATTTTTATGACCAAGAAGAGATTCCAAACAGATACTTTCCTTTGCTCTGCAGAGTCTGCATAAATACTTAATCATGTGGTGTTTGACACGATGAGGACAGTTTATGTATCCAATCTTTTAATGTTTCAGTGCTTCCTGTAGATCTTACTCTACAAAAGACTCATTTCCTGTCTGTCTGTGCAAAAGTGTCTCAGGCCAACACACACCAATACCATTCCAGTTTATTCATCTGTCACACATTGCTTGCATTTTCTCAAAATGCTGCCCTCATGGAAGCTATTATCCTGTCGCCACGCCCTAAAGTATCTGGTTTTTATGCAAAACCATGTTCAGAAATGAATCTGACAAAATAAATATTTCAGTTAGATTAGATATTCCCTTGTCTTCTGCGTGTCCGCTCAGGGAACGCATTCGCAAAGGACTGGAGGAGCTTGAGTTGGTTCGACCAGGAGGAGACACTTTCATGCATCTGGGCATCATGAGGGTGAGTGGACCTTCAAGCTGGCACCTCCTGCTTCAGCTGCAGCACAGTCACCGCGTAGTTCAGAGCACTAGATGACTGAAATGTTAGAGACACAAGGAGTTCCCTCATTCCTTGCATGCTACTGGGCTTACGCATGTTTAATTGATCTTTTCTTTTATTGTTCGCAGGCCAGTGAGCAGATATACCACGGAAACATAGAAGGTGTGTTTTATTCCTCCTTATAGTGCGCTGCAGATTTTTCAAGTGTAATTTTTACCAAAACCTGTGAATGGATGAAAGTTTTGTCTGTTTCTGTGCTTTACTGAACTCAAATGGGTGTTGCCGACTTTAGGGACAGGAGGTCAAAGGGGTCACAAGATAATTAGAGTCTGAGCAAAGAAACACTGTTACGTAATGCTCCCACATGAAATTGCCTTTTTTGTCCCTGTGTGTGTGTGTGTGTGCTTTAATGATGCTGTTACTGGTCCAGGCCTATAAACTAGTCACAATAAACAACTTGACAAAGAACAACACAATTATTGCTGAGAGCTCAGGGGAAGAGGTAACCTTCAGTGTAAGCCTTTGAAAATTTATGCACACGTCGGAAAGAGCCAACAGTCGTGGCTTTAGTTATGGTTTACATTTGCTCGTTGACTTGAGGTCACCTTTAGGAGGCCTTTAGATGCATGTGATTTGATTTAGACTGAATGAGATATGCAATTACAACAATTAAGGTTTAGATCATGTAACTACAAACAGTGTTCTGTTAGCTCAGTCAAGGTGGGCGACGTTTTGGTAGCGCGTGCATGCGTTTGTGTCATTCTGCCTGTAAACACGATAGCTTGGAAATTTTAGGATAAATTCTGGGGGTGTAGAGTGGGGTCATGGTAACGATACAACATACAGGCATATAGGGAATTATATATGGAGGATGCCAAATATCATGTTAGTTTGTATAGCTGAAGTATGTAGCTAGAGTATTTCATCTGCTAGGCCAGTAAAACTGCAGCAGGGGTGATTGTATTCTTTTTGCTCACAGGTTATCGCACTGCCAGTGTTATCATAGCTCTGACGGACGGAGAGTTACACGAAGATCTTTTCTTCTACGCTGAGAGGGAGGTGAGAGGAAAAAAATAGGTCACACGTGTTTCACAACCAGGTGAAATATGTAAACGATTAAACATATGTGGGACCAGATCAAACACTGCCATTCTGTACATCACCACTTTGATCCTCATCTTTTAGTCAGACAGCGGGGCCAGAGCCTTCCCCGGATTCATACATCAGAGCTCGCATTCGCATCTGCTCTGGCCTCTAATAATTCAGCTGCTCCTCTGATCATTCAGACTTTGCAGGTGAAGGCGTGTGAAAGCCACAGGCTTTAATCAGCTTTTAGTTGCTTCAGACACATGTTGACATTGGGGATGGTGTTCCTGGAAATGTTCCTCCTGGAAGCTGTGGGAGGTCTTAGGTTGTTTCTCGATGTCAACACCAAAAACATATTAACTGGAAATTTGACTTATGTGTTCTGTCTGGTTTTGTGGCATCTGAGGGACGTTTCGAATGTTACATCATGCGTGATTAATATTATTAAGTGGAACTATGACGGTGCCTGGCTTCTTTTAAAGAGTTTTTCCAAGTGCCAGATAAAAACAAGCCTTTTTTGGGTTTGTTGTGGATGGTGTTGTGAAATGCAGAGGTGTAATTGAAGCCAGGTCTTCCTGTTTTTGCTGTAAATCTGTGTGTGTACTTGACAGGCCAACCGCTCCCGAAGTCTGGGTGCCTCGGTTTACTGCGTGGGGGTGAAGGACTTCAATGAGACACAGGTGTGTGTATGCTTTTAAGTTTTAGTCTGAACCTTACTGGCTTACGGCACCTGAACTTGAGAGAGAAATGGATAGCACTGCTGTAAAAATTTAAGCTCTGGAAATCCAAACCTTATTTTGAAAATCCTGAAACTAGCGTTTTTAAAGAGTTAAGTGCTTGACATCACATAAAGTCATAACTGTAAGTAATTTAAACCCCGTGTCACTGTCTCTGTTCATGGACAGCTGAAGCAAACATATTCAAGTGAGTTAAGTACTCCAGCAAAGACATGAAATATGTTTTAACTTATGCAGCTTTATCCAAAGGCTTGGTTTCCTAATCACTGCAACATGCCAAGTGAAGAGGACTTTCCCCCCACCTCCTTTGTTTGTCGTTGAAGCTGTTTTATTTTAAGGAAGTTGTGTAATTTTGTTATGCCACTGGACAATGTCTGAATGGAAATCTTGGATGAATAAGTGTGCCACTTGTCTCTTTTGATTACAGTAATTTGTTTTCTCTCTAGCTGGCAAACATTGCTGATAGTAAAGACCACGTCTTCCCTGTAAATGATGGATTTGAGGCTCTGCAAGGAGTCATCGATTCAGTAAGCATTTCAGTTCTACATGTTTACATCAGACAGACGCTCGGCATCCGTGTGAAGTGTTATGATCAGGACTTTCAGACACAGGAAAAGTCAACGGAGATCTTATTGCTTTAATAGGCTTTATATAATCTCTCCCTTGACCTCCCCTTTAATCCATAAACATGTTGATCAAATATCAGGAAACTAGTCCTTCTGGACAGAGACAGAATTCCAGGAAAACCTGCTGTGACTTTCCTTCTTTTGATCAGTGTGACTGATAAACACAAAGTATGTCCTGTATCTCTTAAGATTGACCTCAGTGTTTTCCATTTGAATGCTAGGATGAAAAATTTGAATTAGTTTGTTGTGAATGTGCTGATGTCACTGGGATATGGGATTTGTTGAGCAGAAATAAGGGCCAGACAGCTGAATTACATCTGGAGCAGATTAATGACAAGTTGAAAGCAGCTGCTTCTCACTCATGTGAAAGGGGCAGTTGATCATGAATCGTCCTCTTGATGTTCAGGGTTAAAGAGGGTATGTTCCTGGAGAGCAACAAATATAT